TATTTGGCACCTATAATTAGAGAATTGCCCATGATGTGACAATCACTTTCCTTTGGACCATTTTGCCCTTTTCTACTCTCTCTCTCCTCTCTTTGACATCTCCCCTCTTTTTTTTCTCTTCAATCCCTAATTATTTTACAAATCTCTATCATTATATATACAATTAAATTTTAAATTTCATTATTTTTTCATAAGTTGTTTTGAATCCTCAATTTTGACCCTTTTTTTTTCTCTCCAATCCCTAATTATTTTACAAATCTCTATCATTCTATATACAATTAAATTTTAAATTTCATTATTTTTTTCATAAGTGGCTTTGAATCCTCAATTTTTTGATGATATCAATTTTCTGGGTTTTAGATTCGACGTCGTGTTAGCGGTTAACAAATATTGTAGACGTTAACAGAAGTCTTAGGTGTTAACAATTATTTTTACGCTTCGCGTTAATAAATATGTTCGCTGTTAACAAATATTGTAGACGTTAACAGAAGTGTTAACTGTTAACAATTATTTTTACGCTTCACGGTAATAAATGTGTTGGCTGTTAACAAATATTGTAGACGTTAACAGAAGTGTTATATGTTAACAAATGTTTTTACGCTTCGTGTTAATGAGAGGAAAGAGAAAGGGCATTCTCGGCATTTCCTTGCCAAATGGTTGTGTCAGTGTCCTTCATGTCCAATCAATGGTATTTTGCTAATTTGAGCTTCAAATATGGGTAGNTGTTGGCTGTTAACAAATATTGTAGACGTTAACAGAAGTGTTATATGTTAACAAATGTTTTTACGCTTCGTGTTAATGAGAGGAAAGAGAAAGGGCATTCTCGGCATTTCCTTGCCAAATGGTTGTGTCAGTGTCCTTCATGTCCAATCAATGGTATTTTGCTAATTTGAGCTTCAAATATGGGTAGTTCACTAAATCAGTCAAAAAAAAAAGAGAGAAAAAAAACAATCTGAAAATGTTTGACCACCAAGACTTGATTTGATCATTTGCATCCGTTTTGGCGCACAAGTAAACACCAAGAAATGGAATCATTTGTTATATATTACAAGTGAGTAAAAAAACAAATAACATGCGGTGAAAAAGTGAAAAGTGAAAAGTGAAATACGGTTAGCGGATTCAAAAGTTGATGCTTTTCTTCTTCTTTCTCTCTCACAGTCGCAGATTCACAAATTGCAGAAGAATAGCTGAAGAACAGATTTACCAGGAGACGTACTAGCAGCTTGGAGATACACGCTATGAAGTCACCGAGAGCTGTAAGCTCTTATCAACATCATCATCTTATTCTTCTTCTTCTTTTTACGATTCTCTCGATCGTTCATTACGTCTCCGTCGTTAAAATTTCTGATCGTGAACTTTGGTTTGCCTGTGATTGATTCTTAAATCGATCAGTTTACTTAGCATGATTATGATAAAACTTATATAGTTATCATAGCTTAGCTTTACTTGTATTTAATTGTGACTTAAGAGATAATCTAGCTCCTTGTATCATATGGCAAAAAAAAAAGCAATATATTTTTGAAAAAAAATACACCCGCGCTTTCTAAGCGCGGGTCAAAATCTAGTTGCTATTAAAATTGATGAAATGACTTATAGTTAAATATGAAATGGATAATTATATTTTTTTAATGATATATATTTGTGCTAAATATCATAGAATATGGAAATAACTGATACATTATATTTAATGTTGATTTATATTTTTGGTAAGTTTCTTAAACTATGGTAATAAAAAACCAAATCATCACTGAAATTATATTTATTGAAATATGCATTATAAATTTCGAATATTATTTAATTTTACTTTTATAATTATAATTTTTAGTATTAATATTTTCAAAATTTATTACATCTTTCTAAAAATTAATAAATTTTAATCGTAATATCATTTGTTTCGTTCAGATATCGAAAAATTTTATAAATATTGTTAAAATTTGTAATAACCATAAAATTTTTATATGAATTTTCTTAGTAATTTTGTACAATTTTATTTAATACATTTAAACAAAATGATCTCATTGTCGATCGGTGCAGGGAGTAGCATGTCGATTGATGTCTGTGGAGTGTGTTTAAATTGTCTTGCTGGAATTGGCTATCTCAATATGAAGATCGACGCTTGTGAATTGCTGTCGAGCGATGTTTGATTATCTGATCGGTAGTCACTAGTTTATTGTGGATTTTATCCTAAAGTATTAGAATGATATGTCATTCGATTGTGGTATTTTTTACACAACATATTAATTGGTGTGTATAAATGCAACTAACTCGTGAACTCATAGACTATGAGTCTGTGACAAAACTTACAACATTTTGGCTGCAACGGTGGTCTCATGGATTATCCTTACTCCATGGAAGAAGGAACTTGCTAGACGCATAATTTTTCTTTGATGTGTTCTACTATGGTTTAGTGTTCAACATTTTCTCTTTTCCTTTTCTTTACAGAACAAGACGGAGACAAACGAATGGTAATCCAAGGAGAGAATCAGAAACTGAGTCTTCATAAAGCCTTGAGTCTAAAGACCCTCCTTGCAGATTGTCTTCTTCTAATAGCTTACGAAGGTACACATATCTCCCAACACCATCTTATGCACACAAAAAAAGATCTCTACTTTTTTGTATATCTGAATCAGACTATGCTTAATAGTTTGATGTATGATTAATGAGATGACTAGGTTCTGCAAATAATTATCGCTAACTCCACTAATCTATAGAACAGATTTGGCATTGCTAGGTTCAACTTATATATGATGCCCTTACAACAACCTTTTTTTGCCCTGACAACAACTAACTTTGAGCTTTACATATTGTAGGAAAAGTTATTGTGAGTATAGAATCAGGTACATCATCTTCAACATTTCTTTAGTTTTTGCTTTTAATTTTGTCATTTAATGCAAAAATATTTTGTGAGTTTGTGACCAGATCGTGTGTATATTCTTCTCCAAAGACGATTATTTTGTTTGTCCCCACTGTATCATGAAGATGAAAGAGTTCAATAACGAAAGCATCACTTGCTTAGCAGATCCACACTTTTGAAAGTACTAATTAAGTTTGGTGGTTGTAGTTATAACTATAAAAAATTTAATCCTAGCTTAATCATTTAATAAGCCTCTCTTTATGTGTATCTCATCAGTAACATCGATAAGAGGAATACATTTGCTCAAAGTTCATGAAGCATTTGACGGTTTATTGGGATGGAGTGAAGGCTTCTCTCTTTGTGTAATCATATCTCACTGAAGTCCTGTCCCAATTAAATAGTTTTGACCTAAAGTGATCATTATATAATTTTTTTAAAAAAACATCGACGTCGTATCTTTTGAATTTTTGATATTTTAGTTGTTTAGTTTGGTTGTTCTGTTGAATTTTATTTTTTATTCTTTAAACTTTTTTTTCTAATTGATAATAGAAATATCTCAAATTGTCATTACATTTTAAGATATTTTATAGTATTTTTCAATTGGTTTATCCGTCCCTAGTCTCACATAAAAAAAACACTAAACTGAGACCGAAAACTATTACTACTACGATGCTTACTATACATTTCGAGGCCCAATAGTGTCTTCAAAATTAATCTGGATTTTGACTCTTTGACTAATGTAGATTTTTTTTTCAACTTAAAATATTTTTTTTTTCATTATCCACCAACTATAATAGATTTCTCTGCAAAGATCCATTTTATTAGTCTGTATTATAAACTAAACAACGTACTGTATTTATTTTCTAAGCAAAGTCTTTGGCAACAATTAAAACGAGTGCGTGCTATGTACCTTTATCTTATATGCTTTCTCAAATTTAGTCGAGACCTCGGTCCATCAAAATTTAGGGATAAGTTTTTATCCAAAAGAAAACCTATAATGATAAGTCAAAGCCGAATAATGTATATCAGAGAAAATATCATTTTCATTTCTGAAAATGAAAACATTGAAGCAATACTTTTAGCAATACTGAACGCAGCAGACCATGGGCCCTATCTAACTATAGAAATGATCAAAATCAGGTGGAGTTCTTTTTGTTGGAGAATTCATAATTTCATAAATGCACAACCATAGTACCTTAAATCTTAAAAAAAAAAACAAAAAAATCCTTAGTAAATGCTTCGTTAGCATGTTGGTTATGTTCTTTTATAGTTCTTAACATGTTCACATTAAGAATATAGCTTTCTTGTAAACTGTTTTAAACTTTAATATTGGAGTAGCTACTAGCCAAGCCTTTCAATTTCGTTTAGATTACCATAGTTGGCAATTTTCACACTCGATCCAAACTTATGACTTTATTAGTTTATTTTGGCTCTATTCAGTTCAAGATGCATTTGGTATCGTTTTGTGTATGATCACATTTTCTCAAACTATACATTCTCAAAAGGGTATTCAAAAGTCTTGTATGGTCTGTCAGAGCTCTCTGCTGTTGTTATTTTCTTATTATTCTTCTTATCCAAATCAATTTTTTTAGGAAATTAAACTATTCATGATACTTAATGCTCTTAAGAGCAACCCCATTGATTTGATACCATGAAAGGATCTAAAAGAAAAAGAAAAAGTAATAGTATTATAATTTTACAAATTTGTTTTGATTATCTTTAATAGACTAAATGCTAAGTGAATGACATAAGTTGTTTTAGGTTCTTATGGGTTCTAAAAAGCTCTGTTTTCAGAATTTTTCATCTTTCTATTTTTTGTTTTAATTGTTTTTTTTTTCCTTTAATTGCGAAAACTCCATCAAGAACAAGAAATTAATCATGATTTAGTCGCTACAAAAGTAACGAGAAGTTCCATTTTGCATTATGTCATCTCTAATATTACGTTAGTTACATAAATAAACTGATCATCAGAGTAGTTTGATTAGTAAAAGACTCTAATTGGTCTCCATAAGAAAAATACTTTAATTTACTACCTTATAGTAATAATACTATATATACACCCTTATGTGGGTGAGTGTTTTCGAGAGCAGACACACGTTCAAAACATTGAATACCGAGAGAGACCCATAACAGAAAGAGAAGAGAGATGAACAACCGGAACAAACAGATCGAACCCGGTTCTGGTACTGGCTCCGGAGGTAACCGCCGGATGTACAACTGTGACATATGCATGAGAGGTTTCACAAATCCCCAAGCCCTTGGTGGTCACAGAAACCTCCACCGTAAGGAACGCGAACGAATCCTCTCCTCTTCCTCCTCTTCTTCGCAGTCATTACCCTTTTCAACTTCTCTACCGTCTCAGTCACTTTATTACACAAACCCTAGTAACAACAACCCACGTCCATATTTTCCGACCATTGATTCATACCACTATCAAACGTTTCAGCCACCGACTAACCCTAGCTACAGCACACAACGCTTTGAAACATCATCATCACCAAGAAGAGGTAATTACGCTCAAGGAGAGTCTCTTGGTCTCGATCTGAGCTTACGGCTCGGATCCGTCGATGTCGGTAATAATTCTCACCAGTGGCTGCAAGGCGCCGGAGTTTCTCAGCCTGAGCAAGATGATGATCTTGATCTCAATCTTCGACTTGGCGGTCATCATCATCGTTAAGCTTCTACGGTTTCTCTGACGTTCGATCCACGTAACTAAATGCAATTCAATTGCATATATATCGTTTAATTTAATCACCTTATAATGCATGACGTTAATAGTGGTGTTTTAATGTTTAATGTGTTGATAGGTGGATCAAAATCGGTTTGAGTAATGCTTTTATCATTTTGAAGTTTAGTTTGTATAGTTTTTTTGATAAGGATAGTTTTATAGGTCAAGACTATATTATTCTCTTGGGTTGTATATCTATAGGTCAAATTGGTTTAAGCAATGTCATATGTTTGAAGAAGTTGGGTTTGTCTAATTCAAGACTATTATTCTCTTGAATATCTAAAATTCAAATATATATTGAGTAACGTTGTTAGTATATATGAAGTCTACGTTTGTATAGTTAACGTATTATTCTCTAATTGAATAATTATAGATCAATTTGAGCAATGCTGCTATTTTCTTAACTTTTGTATGTATGAAGTTTGGATTTATATAACTCAAGACAAACTAATCGTTTAAGAAACTATAGATGATTGTAAAAGTTTTTTTCTTAAGAAGGTAGTGTGAATGAATTCAAATTGCGATGGGATAAACATTAGACGCATCTTAATTATCGGTTGGTGATGATCATAAATTATACAATTTGGGATCAAATATAGAAACTACATCTTGCAGACCCATGTGAGCTGATATGAATCATAGCCTTGATTGTTGTAAAACAAAGTATAAGATTATAAATATGCATGTGTAGTCTATATATACACACGCATTATGGTAGGAAATAAATTAAGCAAAAATGGTAAGAAACTAGTATGTCAGGCCATGCAATTCATTGCTCAAATTAAATTATATAGCCTCGAGATGCCTAACAGAGAGTCTTGGAGGCTCAAGAGATCAATATGACCTTGAAACTGCATGTTCCACTAGTCACACGTATCATTGACTAAGGTTTTATCATCTCGACGAGAGAAGCCAAGCAGACTGCATATCCTTATGTCTTGTAATACAAGAAAATAAATAGAGTTGAAGATGTATGACCAACTCATACAACATAGATGCATCTTTTCAGCAGACTGAATCTGTTTTAATTGGTCAGGAATCTTGTAGATTAAAAACTCTAGGTCTCGGAAACTATAACCAAATCGAACCGAATATGCAGAATCAAAAATTTTGATTCTTGGTTCAGATCTGGTTAAGAGGTTGGTTTATATCAGCCTCTTTTTTTTTTTTTTTTTTTTAAAGTTTCTTAGTTTGGTCTGATTTGATAGTCGGTTAGTTTGGAGTCAATGGCTCAGATGCCCTTCTACAAAAAAAAATTAAATCACTTATACTCTCCACTAATTTTCATATCTTTCACCATTTTATGAAAATCCCAAATAAATCATTCCCAAGCGATCAAAACTAAACAAAACCCCCCCCTATGGATAAGTGAACCCATGGGTAAATCTTTAAATTCTATATGTTTCAAATTCGAAAAAAAATATTTTAAAATCGTTTTTAATCATATTTTGATGATTTTCGGAAAAATATGAAAAATAGTTTTTTGATTTTTGAAATATTTTTATCAAATTCTATAAATCAAATAAAAAATATTGACGTTGCCAGTTTAGTTTTATGATTTTTCGTTTGATATATAAAATTAAAAGAAAAAAGTGGGGACATTTGAGAAATACGAAACAGATGCAGGGACTGTACAGTCATTTTCTCGGTTAGTTTGTCTCTTTTTAAAAAAAAAAAAAAATTGAATTGGAAACGTACCGATTATACCAAACAAAAACCAAAAATCATATCCAAATGTCAAGTTGAACTAATCAATACAATCAAATTTAACTGACAATATTCAAATTAAACAATAATTAACCAGAAACTTTGGCTCAGTTCGGCAAAAATTTTAAATACCAAAATAAGATTAATTACCAAACTGAATCACATTTTCTGTTCAATTCGCAAGATTTTGTGCAAACCAAACTAACCAAAACCTAATTATTTGAACGGAACTTGCATGTCTACCAAAATCCAAACTCGAAGGTGACTCCAATACATTTATATCGAATCATACACCAAAATCTTCAATGAATCAACTTCCTAGTACATCTGGAGTTTTATAGGCTCTTCTGCTCTGCAGCAATACGTTCTCACTTCTGCATGCTCTACGGACGATGAACAATGTAATAATCCATGATTAGACAGACAAACTCGCTTGTTAAAGAGGTAGCTGTTTTGCCTTCACTTAAGGCATTAACGTTGACCAGTTTTAGGCATGCATTTGGTTGCTGACTAAGGTGTAATTTATTAGTATATAGTTGATTATAAAAGTTTCCAGGAGAAGGATATTAGTTTTAAGTGTGAGGGAGGGATCAACCTGCATTGTCTCAGACTCAGTCAAGGTCAGGTCCCTGATCCTGAGTGTGAACTCAAACATAAGGTACTCGAGAGCATAATTGCATTGTCAAAACTCAAGTGAGAAGATAGGAAAGGAAATCAGAGGCTGTAGTTATATGCTTTTAAGTCACTACTATCAATATTTTGATTCAATCAATGCACAATCTCTCTACCCACTCTCCCACTGATTAAATGTCTTCTTCACCAAACCTCTCTCTTGGTGGTTGGCTCTACTTACCCCATCTGCCAACAATCTCATTTTCATTTATCATTCCCTCACAATGATTCTAACCATCTCAAACATTGGAGCAAAGTCGCACCTAAAATATCAATTCCACAATCTTTTTTTATGTATGCAAACAACACTAAGAGATTTTAGATATTCACAATGTGTTGAATCATAAACAAATGTATCTATAAAACAACACTAAAAACAAACAAAAACCAACAGTTAGTCCAAGTAACCTGCTTGGCATTGACTCTGCCACTCAAAACAATCTTCATAATCAAAGCTACTCGCACAATCCAATAAAGCGTTCTGCTGCTGTTCATAATGACAAATGTAGTTCAACCCGACAAGAAGCTTACAAATCGCAGCTTCTGTCTTCTCCCTATCAGCAAAGTAAAGCGTCTGAAGCAAAAGCACATTAGTCCTCTTCACAATCTGATTATGCTGCTCGAAGTTGCGTTCACTCTGCCATCTAATCATGTTGTGAGCTAACGGAGCAAGCCAAGATAGTATACCATCTATAGTCTCTTTCCAATCATGAGCCAAAGGAGCGTCGTAGATCGAAATGTTCTTCAGGTATGACCTGAGATTAGCCTTCAATGATGTTTTCAAACTCGTTGGTAGCATTTGGTAAAGATCGTCTCTAGCTTCTTCTCCTATTAGATGAGGGTACTTGAGAAGCTTCTCCACAACTATAACTACATTTGCATAGTGTAAAGATAAAGCAGATCCTCCAATGGTTGAAGCTGAAGCGTGTTGAGTTAATCTGCTCTTGGAGCCAAACTTACTACTCCTCATTGCTCTAGGAAACATGATCCTAGCATCTTCTTCTTCTTCATCATCATAACTCCTTGAAACTGAACTATTCAAAGGGAGACACTCCATGAACATCCTCCCTGGATTAGTCCCACAAGGGAAACCAAAATCCGCTTCACGCGTAAACTCCTCTGCTTCACATCTCTTCAAAGTCGAATCCTTTTTACCTCTCAAACCCAACCCACCAAACACAGTCTCAATCCTGCCATAGATTGTGCAAACAGTCCTAGCCAACATCTCAACAACCTTATCATAAGTCTGGTTCCACAAAGAAGCATCTCTAAGACTCTTCACATCCTGTCTCTGCCACATAAGCTTCTGTTCAAAAGCCTTAACACTCCCTTGATGCTGTCCACTTCTCTGAAGCTTCACCACAGCTTGCTCAAGCTCATTCATCACTTCCATCTCACAGTAAAGATTACAAGTAGCGTTAACAAACCTCTCCATCTTCTTAACCATACTCTCCATATCTTTGACTAAAAACCCTAACTTCCTAAAATCAATAACACCGTTGACTATGTCTTCGTAAACATGCTCGAATCCTTGTAAAGCGGGCTCGTTACACTTCTTACCTAACCTGGACACCACGCTAGCTACGCGGCTTAAGTCGTCGAGCTTCTCGGAGACAGCGAGGTCTAGGAGGTGGTTCTGGTCGGAAGAGACTAACTTTATGACTCCTTGGGAGAGGAAAACCTCGGATTTGAGCTTGGAGAGCTCTGTGTCAGAGAGGGAGCGGTGGAGGTGGACTGTTTTGGACATGATGTTGGCTACTTCGAAGGATAAGATTCCGATTGTTTGTTTAGGGAGAGGAGGGGGTTTCTTGGAGGAGGATTCGAGGAGGAGGGCGTGTTTGAGATTGGTGCTTACTTGGTTTCTCATCTTCACAAGCCAAGCTTCTGCAACCATGGCGAGAGTTTGTTTGAGTAAAGGTCCAGACTTTGAAAAACAGAGAGATTTTTGAGTAAAAGTTTTGTGTTTTTCTTCTCTCTCTCTCTCACTTAGGGGTTTTAGAGGTTAAAACAGATCCGGGGAAGAAGAAAAGGAATGTTTTGGGTTTGGCGCATGAAAAGGGGATAATCATTGGAGATTATGGGCGGTGGGTGCTTAAAGGGGCAGACACAACCATTGATGTGTTATGATGTGCCTTTTTGCGCCTATTGGAGAAGGGTAAAGTGAAGAGGAGGAAGAAGGAGACTTGAATGAGAGAAGCTTAAGATTTTTGGACCCAGCTCAAGCTTCTTTTAGAGAGAGAAAGGAAAGAGGGATTTTGAATGACTGGAAAAAGTGGAGTAGAGAGAGAGTATTAGAGAGTATTTATTTATTTATTTATTTATTTGAAATGGAGTGATGCAGGTCGTACTGGTTCCACTAGTGTTAAAATTCTTAATTTTAGCATTTTTTTAATTAGTAAAATTTCAACCTATTCAAATGTCAGATGTGAAAATTTTTTAAAATAGTGAAATTTCAACCTATTCAAATGTCAGATTTTCACATCTTTTTCAACAAACCTAATAGAGTATTTGTTTATAATCTCTTGCAATTGTTTCTAAATACTTTTAAGAAAACAAAAGAGTTTCTATATACTCCCTGCAATCGTTTCTGAGATAACAATCTCTTGCAATAGTTTCTAAACAGTACTATGTAAATGGACTCTCTTATGACCCATCAATCATTTTTTTTCCTCAAAAACGACCAACAACTTTCTAAAGCCACCGTACAAAAAAGAAGTCAACATACTTGATCCGCGGGGAAATTGACAAAATAACCCTCAACTTTCGAAAATAAGTCAAAAATCTCCAACTCACAAACAAGCCATTTTAATCTTCAACTTCTAGTCAAACACGAATAAATCTCATATTTTCGTTGACCAATCCATTTTAATCTCGTCAAAATTCAACCGTTTAGTTCCGTTAGTTATATTTAACGGCTGACTTTTAATGAGCCTAAAATGGCTTGGTCAACGAAAGTATGAGATTTTTTTTAACTTAAATTAAAAATTGAAGATTAAAATTGCTTATTTGAAAATATCTTAACTAAAATTAATTTTTTAACTGACAGGAAAAAAATATAATTTTTTATATCGATTGTAATCACTAACTTAATAATATATGTTCAAATAAGTTTAGATATAATATTTAAAAATAAATTAAAAAATTTTATACATCAACTACTAGAAATCCCTTTTCACGCACTTGAGTTCCTCATTTTCACTTGTTTCATCCTCTATTGAGTATATGCGATTATACTTTTAACAATAATGTGTTTAGGGTTTTACCTTTAACTTTTATCTTTTTATTCTTAATTTTTTTGAACATCAGCACTTAATTATTTTATTTTATATATGGATTTACAGTATAATTATAATTTTAATCAAATTTTTTGTTTTTAATTCATTTAGAAATATTATAACTAAGCTTATATGAACATATTTTATTAAGTTTGTCATTCTAATTGATATGATAAACTACAATTTTTGTTGAAAAAAATAAACAAAAATAGCAATTTTTAAGTTAAGATAAGTGTACAATTTTAATCTTCAACTTTTAAATTAAAATAAAAAAAAATCTCATATTTTCGTTGACTAAGCCATTTTAGGCTCATTAAAAGTCAATAGTTAAATATAACTAACGGAACTAAGCGGTTGAATTTTGACGAGATTAAAATGGTTTGGTCAACGAAAATATGAGATTTATTCGTGTTTGACTAGAAGTTGAAGATCAAAATGGCTTGTTTGTGAGTTGGAGTTTTTTTGACTTATTTTCGAAAGTTAAGGGTTATTTTGTCAATTTTCCTTTTGATCAGCGAAACAAAAATCTTTAAAAGACGATTAGTGATTTTTAGAACAGGGCCAAAATGGATTTTCAAACCTTTTTTAATGATATCATTCATTTTATACAGTGTTTAAATAGAGGTTAGACAGATGCTTCAGTGCCGCATATGTTCTAAACGATGAGTCGATGACCATTTGCTAACTAGTGGTCGGGGTCTCAGTTCCCGATGTTTTTTGGGGCGGTTTTGGATAATTGAAACATCTAATACTTTCAAATGGAAATTATACGGTCTAAACAGATTTTAAGTAGACATATTAGAAACATAGTATAGTTATTATTTAGTAAATATTTACTTACTGTTTAGTTATGTGTCTTCATCTAATCACTTTATTTACTTATAAAACAAGTTTAAATATATATATATGTCTATTCTTAATATATATTTTTTTTGTCATTAACAAAGAAACATAATCATAATGATCCTATAAACCAAACCGGAAACTCTATATCCATGTGAACGACAAAAGACGATTGTTTCCTTACACTGCGTGATAGACTATCTATCCTTGAATTATGTGTTTTTGAAACACGGATGATTTCTGAACAGTGGAATCATTTTTTTAGCGTCTTGATATCCTGTAAATAAATTGCAAAAGCTGGTCATTCTTCTGGTTCTGAAACCATATTCACCAATTGAGAATACTCTATTACAAAAGTAACATGGTATTGACGCAAATTCTTCATACACTCCATTGCCTAAATTAATGCTTTCATCTCAGTGTGAAGAGGTGAAATAGTAGCTCTAACGCTCCTCGCTCCCATCAAGCTATCAAAGCCTTCAAGAATGCTATACCAACATTGGCCTAAAAACACTTCTCTATATTTTCATGACCTATCTGTGAAATACCAGCGACCTCGTATGGCAGGTATGGTCGTTTCCTCCTCTGATTGTGTTGCCCTTTGGGCATGTATCACCTGAGCTTATGTCTAAAGAGTTGACTCTGTCTCCGCAATTGACAATGTATCCTAGGATCAACATCCAAATTACTAAAAAAATTTATATTTTGTGCTTTCCAAATATACCAAAATATCCAAGTAAAAGGATGGTCATCCATCTGTGGTCTCACCCGCCAAAATAGATGATCCCTATTTGTAAAAAGAGAGCCGATAGGAAACCTATCTGGATTGGATGGTATCTTCGACAATGCCCAAATTTGGCGTGCTGGAAGGCATTCAAAAAACACATGATTAATCGATTTATCCTCATCCCCACATCTGGCGCAGCACGGGGACCAGCACGTGTCACCTTGTATTCCCCGTGCTTTTCGATTTGTTTAACCGCTATACAGCCCGATAACAACTGCCATAGAAAATGTTTTACCTTCGGAGGGCCCCGGATCTTCCAACAGTATACTTTTTATAAATCCACTTTGTGGATCCCAAGATTTGGGGTGGTTTCACCTTATCTGGATAACCACGTTCCAGTTGATATCATGACTTCACTGTGTATTTTTCATTCTTCGTAAAATGCCATCCATCCATGTCTTCCATTTGATTCATACTAAATGGTATACTCTCAATAAATGTTGCATCTTGAGAATCAACAAGATTTCGAATAGCCTGCATATTCCAACTTCGCGTAGTAGGATTGATAAGCGACTCCACGGTAAGATTTATATAAAAGTTGTGATTGTTTTTATTTGATGGTCTCGGGCGAGTGGATGGAATCCATGGATCATTCCATACAGATATGGATGATCCTGATCTCACCCTTTTGATAAGTCATTTGCTAACCAGAGATTTAGCAAAAATCATACTCCTCCACCCATAGGACGGAGAGTATGATTTAATCAGCTCGAAAAGTGAAGCATTCCTATAGTACCAACCTTTAAAGACACGAGAAAACAAAGTCTTTGGAATCGGTCCATGCCTATGCTTCATCACCAATAATCAATTCGACCCATATCAAACCTAACGAGGTCGAACCAGTATCCCAAAGATCGCGGTGATCATTGCAGGGAATCAGTCAAGAAAGAGACTATAAAAGGGAAGCTAGGGCGAACCATAAAACACACAGAAAACCCTAGAGCTAAACACTACTCTCATCAACCTCAATCTTAGCTTTCAATTCGTTTATAGTTTCGATCTCTCTTTCTTATTCTCGATCTCGATTATCACTTTGTATCAAACCTCATATTTAATAAAATCTATTTTGTCAATCGAATTCTGATTGTATTGTTGTGTTCTAAGAGTATCGTTGCTCACATCATCTGTCTTCCCTAGATTAAACTCTTGATCATTACAAAATACTTAGTGTGGATTTTAGGATCTATATTTTGGCGCTCGCCGTGGGGCAGATAAACAAAAAACGTCCCTGCAAAGAACCCGATCTAAGATCTCTAAGCACGATTATAGATCCCAACACAACTAACGTCGAGAACTCCCAATTGAGAACGACTTATGTCAACCCCGCTGGAACTGCCCTAGGGGCCGAGACGACACCCGTCGAACAAACGAACGTCAACAAAACCACCGGCGCAATCCAAAGTCAACGAACATCGCCGACAGGGACTTCGTTCGCCGATAGAAGTATAATCTCAGATCAAAATCCTCCCACTGACCGAATCAGGTCTCGAGTTTGAAACCGTACGACGGAAAGAACAATTTTCAAAGATCTGATCCGACAAATAAGACCGAGATCTCCGATTCACCTAACCCGGACACAGGAAGAGGTCGACAAACTCAGGGGAATGGTTTCGTTTCTCATTGATAAATATCGCGACCAAAAAATAGCTTACCGAACCATTACCAACCGTTTGGAACAAGCTGAGAGGAAACTCGCTGAGTACCGAACAAACCATAAGGAAAGAGTTCGACAACTGATAACATGACATCACATGATTTGGAAAAGATGTGACCACAAATTTGATGATCACTTCTTTTCCCCCCTTTGTGAAGAATTTGAAAGTTAACCATTTACCCTATTATTTAATCGTTTATGTACAAATCCAAACACTTGTATCTTAGATCCTCCCAGACTCTCTGGTAGGCCCATATACAATCTCATTCCTCATATTTTATGTATTTCTAAGATGTCTCTCATTTCTTGACGATGTGTTTCTCCAATCTTATGTCCAAATTGGAATGAAGAATTTTGAAAGTTTATCAATTGACCTGAAACTGTCTATATCTTAAGGATCTTGAGAATGGTTGACATTCTTCTGTTTGTGCCTTGCAAAAGAGTAAACTATCATCTGCAAAAAGCATATGAGAAATTAAGAGACAAGCTTTGGCAACCTTCATTCCTGATAACTGTTTTTGTCATTCCGATTTTTTATTGGAAAATAATGCTTCCGTGCACAAGATGAATAAATAAGGAGATAGAGTGTCCCCTTTTCGTAAGCCTCTATGTCGGATAATAAGTCCCCTGAGCTGACCATTGAGTGAAACCGATATTGAACTGACAAAATACACTCCATCATAATATCTTGTGCGGATC